CAAACTGTTATTCCTGCCAACAAAAAAAAAAGTTATATACATATATAAATAAATAAATAAATATATATGTATGTATAAAACCCATTGCTTAAAGAGCCTTGAACTGGAAACCCCTAAAAAACAACAACAAAATAAGTAGGCAGGGGAGTAGGAGAAGAAGGGGGTTTTGTGGGTAGCAAATAAACAACAAAACCAAAGGTTAACCAAGTTTACTTTTCGGTGAAGCGACAGCAACATCGGGGGCAGCAGAAAGATTAACGCGTAATAAGTGTGCCCCAATTTCTGCTTGAATTCAGCGAGGAAGTCGCCACATATTTAATGTGGAACCGAGGGTCTGCCTCGCTTGTGGGGTTTTTTTTTCTTTTCTTTCTGATGTGACAAGAAGGGGGGTGGGGTGGTGGTGGTGGTTAACAAAACGGCATATTTCGCCACACGCACATACAAAAAAAATATACGAAAAAGCAAAAAAAGACACCCAACGAGCCGTCGAAAACGTGCGCAAAACGAAAACTCAGATAAGACAGCCAGACGAAGGACAAAGAAAGAAAGAAAGAAAGAAGAAAAAACTACAAGTGACAGTCCGCCTGACGACCACCCCCTCCCTCCTGCTCACATAAAGTGCAAGTATTTGTATTGTTAAAGGGGTTCCCCCAGGTCTGTAGATAAGAAATATTAACCATAAGGTCCAGGGAATTACCAAAGGTTTAAGAAAAATCCTTGATTGGCATATCAAAGTTTATACAAATTGGTTAATTTTTAGGGATAGTTTGTTGTAGATACAAAGTTAGATCTCAGGACCTATATGAAGCAGAGTAAATTTAATAATTGAAATATGTTTTATATTAAAGTATCCAACTGCATACCAAAATCAAAGCAATCTGTTAATTTTTAAGGTAATTATATCAAAGCTTCACATTCAGATCTCAAGATCTGCAAAAAACGAAGCATTTTTGATGAGGGGAATATGTTATAGTATCCAGTATCTACCTGCATACCAAAAATCGCAGCAATCTATTAATTTTTGAAGAAATTTTTATAAACCTACCTAGTCAGAACTCAGGATTTACAAAGAGTAGGTTCAATTTGATGATGGAAATATATTTTAATACATAATATTTGACTGCATACCAAAAATCACAGCATTCAGTTATTTTTTAATTAAAGTTTTATGAATACATATCATAAAGCTGGCCTACACATGCATTTCCAAGCTACGTTGGTCCCTATATACATAATATATAGCTATTTATACACTTGAAGCACATGGCTCTCCATGTTGAAAGCGGAGCGATGATTTCTTTTTTGTTTGAGTTTCGAAAGAATAAAGTGTCACTCTTGAAACTTGTATGACGTCACGAACAGATCACTTTTGAGCTCACTCCAGAGCTTTAAGATTATTCATTGAATTAATTAGGTTGCATGATTAATATGGCTGATTAATAACCCTAAGATGTGTGTCTCCATTGCTGATTAATGTTTTGGAATCCTAAAGGATATGTCATTGATTTTTTGTTGTTGCATTAATTGTTAATGGTGATGACTTATAATACTGACTATGACTGTGTTTAGTTCTGGGAAATGCTTTTAATGGGTTAAGGAAGTGCTTGTGCTTAGATTGTCTTGTAGTTTGTAAATGAAAATAGTAAAATTCTAGCTTGAATATATTATTATTTTTCTTTTTGCATTCCAATGAAACAACCTAAAATGTTCCTGGCATTTACCTGGTAACCTTAGATTTTTTTTTTGAATATTTTGCACTAAACCGGAACTGACGTGGCTGCTTCAAAGAAAAGCAACTTTTACTGGGAAAATATCTGCCATTTGTTAGTCAGAAAAGCACAAACGAACAAGAAGAGATTTAAGTTATTGTACTAGGAAAGCTTATAACTTGGAATTAAGTATTAAAACGAGAGATAAAATGAAAAGAAAACTATAATCTTTATATGGGAAATATTTTTAATAATATTTTATTTATTAACTGATATTATTTAGTGATTTTAAAAGTACTTACAAATATTTAAATGCCTTTAAATCCGCTTCTACATACATTTATGTATCTTTGACTTGCCCTTAAAGGCTTTTCCCCCTAGTTTTTCTCGTAGTTTTCTTTTTTTATTTTCTTCTGATAAATGCATTTAACCCAAGTTGATTTTGGCCAACATTTTTTTGGGCCCTTTCTAACTTAAACTCAGTTTTTGGTTTTCTTTTTTGTGGGCCACTTGTGCAACAACGCTGTTGCTTTTGCCTTTTGGCACCTCATTTGGTTTGTGTCTCTGTTACTCCCCATCTTCTCCACGTCTCCTCCTTTTTCCTCTGCCGTTCGTGGCTTTTGCTTTAGCGCTGCTCCCATTTCGCTTTTGGCCGTCCATCATTTCAAGTTAACGGTTGCGCGTACGTAAAAGAGCCCCCAAACACAGGCATTAAAAGCAACAACGAAACTAACACACTTTTTTTGTTTTTGTTTTCTGCCCAACCCCCTCAATCCACCTCTCTTTGTCTTTTGCTTCTGCTTCTTCTTCTTCATCGCCGCCCCTCTTTTTTTGTATCTTTTGTTGTTGTTTCTATAAGTTGCTTCTCTTCTTTGAGTTTGATTTCGGTTTTGCTTGTTTTTGTTATTGTAGAGATTCCTGCATACTTTCGCTTTTATTTGAGATTTTTTAAGCTTGTATTTTCATTATTATTATTATTTAATTTTTTTTAATACATATTTATTTATATGTTCAATTGTGTTTTGAATTATATGTATATAAATATATTTTTCTTTAATTTATTTAATTGAAATAATTGAAAACCCTTTTCGTATACACAGTATTATAATTTTAGACAGAAGCTTAAAACGCTGTGAAGAAATCATTTCCGACCCTATAAATCATATATATTCTTGATCAGCATAAATAGCCGAATCGATCTGGGCATGTTTTAAAGAAAATAAATTTTTATAATTTTTTTTTTCAAAAATTTATAAGGGGTTACATCGTTAAAATTTTCAAAATTTTAAAAAATGTTTCAATTTGAAATTTAGTATGCAGATTTATTAACCCAATAAAAACTAACATAGGACTGCTTTCCGAATTAAAATTAAAGCTTTTTTGACTTAGTTATGAGTTTTTTAAACTTTGATTGGTCAGAAAAATTGTCCTATGAAAATATGGATAAATATTCATTAAAAAAATTAGAATATTTAAAACTTAATGATGGATTTTCGATACGATCCTAAAAGGCATATATCTTCAGCTTCTTAGTTTCTTTTTCTTTTTTAATTGTTTAGTTATAAACACTATTTAAGAAAAAAGGAAGGGAAATGTCTAGTTTTTTTTTTTTTTTTTCAAAACTAGAAGTTCCTGTACTTTGTATTAAATTAATTTTAATGTTTTTGTATATTTTTCACCTAGTTCTCCTTTGCCCTTACTTTTTATTTGTACCTCTTGTAATGACTGCTGTGTCATATTGCCTGTAAAAGCAACAAGAAATTACAAAAGGTGAAGAAGTTTGGGGGAGGTGGTAGTGAGTACCTTCCTTTATTGAAAGAGAAATTAACTGAAATTTACTTGGCCGCTGCTGCTGCTGCTGAGCCAAAGAGAGCGCGCTCCGGTGGTGGCACAGTTGTTGGCACAGTTAATTAAAAGGGAACCCCCTTTGGCAAAAGCCACTGCCAAAGCGGGGAGAACCAAACCCCCCACCCACATAGTACCAGAGCTCCACATCCCCCTAATATTCCTTCCATGTCACAGTCACGTCACAGTCACAGTCACAGTCACAGTCACAGTCACAGAGTTTGGGTTAACTTTCGGGTGCTGTGGATGGGTGGAAGGGTGGTGAATGGGTGGTGACTATATTATCGATGGGCGTTGAAATGTTTATGGCAAGATTACACCGTTAACTGATTTGACACAGCTTTGTCGTCGATAAGGTGGAATAAAGCCAGGAAGGAAGGGATATATACAGGGGTTTACGATGTGTTTTAGGGATTTGTTCACAGTACACGGGGATGGATCTTGTGATTTGGTACAAATACATACATACAGGTAGAGATATATAGATAGCAATCAAGGTACTGGGATTGGTTTTATTCCCTAGGTAAAAAACTTCAAGTCTTCTTATTATATACGTGGTTTAAGTTTATTTTTAATGTGGATATTTCATATATTATTAAATATATTAACTTCTTTATAGCTATATAAAACAATTCATATAATTGTCAGCCTTTCAATCGATATAACATTTTCTACTTCAAAAAGCTTTTACAAAAAGATATGATATAGTATCTATATGATATAGTATTTCGTTTTTTATAAAATTTTACACAAAAATCAAGATAAATATACTATGGCTATATATTAAATTTGATGAAAATATATTGAAAACTGTAAAAGTTATGTATGTTCTTAAAATTTTCCGATTGTTCCTATTTCAGCTATATATATGCATATATATATATAGTCCACCGATTCGCCATGCTTCGATATATATACTAGTAAAATTAGATAGAAGAAGAACTCCATAGTTTTATTGTAATAGCTTAAATTTGTTCCATAACAAATCTCGCACTTCTGTGCTTATAATTCCCAACTTGTTCAAACATCCCCGGAACGAAGTGCCTTCTACCAGGCAGGTCTCGGACATGTGTTGTGTTACAAAAGTTGCAAGTCATTGTTTATTAGTGTTCAAAGTTAGTAAGTGATTATTCATACTTAATGTTTATTGATACTTACTGATCATAGTTAATTAATTGTCTGAGTTAGTTACTATTTAGAGTTACTTACTGCTCATTGCTCAAATTGTTAAAAACTAAGAAAAATCTATATAAAAGCACTCGGATATACATTTCGATCTTGCTCGCAATTAAACCTTTTGTAAGCACAGTTGAATATTTTTGATCGTTGCCTCTTTTTTACCCCCGCATTTCTCTCCATTTCTCTCTGTTTCTCTTTGTTGTTACCACTGACCGCCACTGACTAACTTTCCCTTCACTTTCTCCCTCTCTTTATTGTATTTTGCAGAACCGACAGCAGCGCCAGCACCACCACCACCGCCGAGCTGGCACGTGAGAATCTCTTCCAGCCGAATATGGATGACGCCAAGCCGGCGAGCAATGGTCAGAGCAAGTCCTTGTCCTACGGCGACATGTCTTCGTACAACTCCTCCTCATCCAACTCCTGCTCCTCCTCTTCGAATGTCTCCGCTTCCTCCTCCTCCTCCCCGTCGAGTGGGCGTGGAGGGATCTGCATTCCGTTGGAAAATCAACCACCTTCATCGCGCCAACTGATGGCCACGCCGGCTGGAGCATCTGCACCGGCGGCTGCTAACTCGGTGCCGCTTTCCGTTTCCGGTTCAGCCTCAGCCTCGGCCAGCATTGGGCGTAAACGTCATTTGTCTAGCAGCAATTTGGTTAACGATCTGGAGATCCTCGATCGGGAGCTAAGCGCCATCAATGCCCCAATGTTGCTCATCGATCCGGAGATAACCCAAGGTGCCGAGCAGCTGGAGAAGGCGGCACTCTCGGCGAGCAGGAAGAGATTGAGGAGCAACAGTGGCAGCGAGGATGAGAGTGATCGTTTGGTGCGGGAAGCACTGTCCCAATTCTATATACCGCCGCAGCGTCCCATCTCTGCCATTGAGGATTGTCCCCTGGATGTGGTCGGTTTGGGAATGGGCAGTGGAGGTGGAGTGATGAGCGGGAGTGGCATGACCATGGGCATTGGAATCGGAGGAGGAGGAGGAGGAGCAGCAGCAGCAGGCGCTGGCGCCGGTGTCGTTGAGATGGGTTCCAAGCGCAGCAAGATCGATCATCACCATCATCATCATCACCTTGGGCACCATCATCATCACAGTCTGCATCACCACCACCACCATCATCATCATCACCACCACCTGGAGCTGGTGGACTTTGATATGAATCAGAACCAAAAGGACTTTGAGGTCATTATGGATGCACTGCGTCTGGGTACGCCAACGCCGCCGAGCGGTGTCAGCAGTGATTCATGCGGCCAGGCGGCAATGATGAGTGAGTCGGCCAGTGTGTTTCACAATTTGGTGGTCACATCCCTGGAGACATGAAAGTATCAGTAAAAGGATCAGCTTCAGCAGACAAAGATTATGAAATAATATTACAACAACAAAAAAGAAAAGCAAAACAAAACTTAGGCTATGGAAGAACCTAAAAACTTAAGCTAGCTCTTAAAAGTGAAAGCGAAACCCCGAAAGGAGCAGATCGAAAGCATTACTCACTTTAAGGATTAAAGGAAATACAACAATATATATTATATATAGTATATAAAGCGGCAGAAGATACAACAAATCAAGACAAAAGAAAAACAAAAACAAAAATCAAAGAATTTGTAGTCAAAAAAATAAAAGAAATCAGAGAAAACAATCTATAAGTTATAATTGTAATTTATAATACACGAAATCCAGGCAAAAAGCTTCAGTTTGGTTTCCGTTTCGGTTTCGATTTTGCAAAAAGAATCAAATAAAAAACCAAAAATTAAAACACCCACAAGCAGCACATTCCAGGGTCCTTACCAAAGGACCTCGCTCGCTCCTGTACGTTATATAATTATATATATCTCTGTATAGTATAAATCGCCTGTAATCCAAAAAAAAAAACAACAACAACCGAATTTCTCGTACTTGTTTATCATTTGAGATTCTTTTTCATTTAATTTTTTTCATATATCTCACACAAAGAATATATACTATTTTATATATTTTTTACATTAGACTCCAAGAAGTTCTCCTAGTCAAAACTGAAATATAAAATGGAAACAATTACAAAACGAAAGAGAACGAAAACTGAAGAAATTGAACTTTTTAAACAAGGTTTCATTTATTATTATTATTCTTAATTTTTTGTTTACAAAATTCCCTAAAGGGGTTACGCTAAAAATGAATTATGAAACAGTATAATTGTTAATTTCAAAATATTACTTATAACTTGGTTTATATAGAAATATTCCGTTTTTTACTCTTGTTATTTTAAAATATTATTATAAAATATTATTTCGATCTTGGTTTATATAAAAATATTACATTTTAACTGCGTACAGCGTAACCCCCTTTAAAAATCAAATTCTGCACAAGAAACCTATTAAAAAAACAAGCGAAATTTACTGAAAACTAAAACATTGAGTTCTAACAAAAAAATAGCAAACAAAACAAACAAAAAAATATTATACAAAAAAAGTGCAATTAGAATTTTTTAAAATATTGAAAGCAAGCCTCAAAAAAAAACCAAGAAAAAAGAAACAACAACAAAAGTGCATTGAAAATAAAGATTTAAACACAAATCGGGCAAAATTAACAAATTAAAAGAAAGAATTAATAATTAGTTAATTATTAAAAAACAAACAAATTAAGCAAAAACAAACAACAAAAAACACAAAAAAAAACAATTTTTCTTCGAAAAACAAAAAGTTATGGCTGTGATAGAATTTTAAGTTTAAGTAACTTTTTTTTTGCTAACAAAAAGGAAAAATTAACACAAAAAAAATTAAGAAAAAGTTACAATTTAGAAAGCAAAGAAAAAAATGAAGAAGAATTCATGGATATTATTATGATCAATGTATTTGTGTAAAAAGCAAACATTTTTTTTAAGTATTAATAAGGAGGAAAACCAACAACAACAACAAAAACAACAACCAAACAAAGCGAAACGAAACGAAACAAAACAGAAGAAAACAAAAAAAAAACTAATTGTGTAAAAGAAGCCACTGTGCGAGAGCTGTGCACTTTCTTCGGCGCTCGCGGAGAGAGAGAGAGGGAGAGAGAGGGGGAGAGAAGAAAGAGGGGAAGAGAATCTTCTGCCCCTCCCCTCCCCCACTCTTCTCCGGCGATGTGCGCGTGCAACTTTCGCTGGCTTTTTTTTGGCTTTCATTGATTTTATATACTTGCATACAACTATATACACCGAAACATATATATTTATATATATATATATGTATAAACAGAAACTATGTTTTCTTCTCTTCAATATTTTGTTATTGTTTTTTTTTGCGCATTTTCTATAAGTCGCGCTGCCTCGCCTCGCCTAAGCTTTCGTTTTCGTTTCAAGTTTTGACACGTTTTTACACGTCTCTCGCTATTGTTTTCTCGTTCGTTCGTTCGTTTGCTCTCGCTCGTTCAGCTTAAACTCTCTGTTCCCTCAAAAGATCGTGGCATCAAAAAAATAATAAAGAAAAAATAAAAATGGGGGCAAGCAAGTCAAAGACTCAAAGCAGAGCGACGAGTGTCCTTTATCGATAAAAAGAAAACCTATCTACCCTTTACTGTTACCAATTAACACACATTTTGTTTAATTATATTACCCTAAGTTTCTATTTCTATTATTATCAAGTACTTTATAATTACTATTATGTATGGTTTTTTTTTTTGTGTAACTAGAAGAATTATTTACAAGTTTTAGCGAAACATTATACGCATATTGTATTTCCATTTTAGTTAATATTCCTACATATAAACATGCATATACATATATATACATGCTATATAGATAAACCTATGTACATATACATACATATGTACATCAATGGTGATCTGCACCGCAGACAGAAACTATTAAGCATTCAAAACAACAAAAAGAAAAAGCTATTGCAACAAAAGGCAACAATAAATTATACAAAAAAAAAGTACAACATTTATTTTGTTTTTTTATTTGATTATTTATTAATTTACGATATGTTTTTTCCTGTGCTATTGGTTGGATTTTATTTGATTTGAGAAAATTTTCCCAATTTTCTTGTGTTACAATTTTAAAAGTTTTAGAATTTCTCGCTGTTTTTAGTTTATAACTATCTGGTTTTTTTCTTTCATTTTATAGATTTTTTTATTGCTTTCTTGGGACTTATTAAGTTTTAATGATTTATCGAAGCCTCTGGCTTAAGGTTTTCTATCGCCGAAATGTTTTTCTGCTGTATATATACAATCGATTACGTTTTTATTATCGCTAATATTCGATTTCTTGTTTCCTAGCTTATATTTTGTATAATTATTTCTTTATATGTTCTAGAATTTTCATATATTTTATTTAAAATTGCTTAAACTCTGTATTTATTTGTTAAAACTTGGCTTGGCCTTGAGTTTTCTTCAAGACTGTATTCCCTCCCTCTCTTTTTATCGATAACGATTACTCAATCAACGCTCTGATGGCTCTGTGAGATCATCATAATCATCATCACCATTATCGTTTCTGTGAGCCCACGAAAATTTGTCTGTGGATTTGACCTAGCCCAGGGTTAGGCTTCTCTGGCTTTTGTTTTGTTTATACGCTTGTTTTTTTTTTGTGTTTTTTGGGGGTCAAATTTATTGAAAGCACAAAACGATCACACTCGAAACTGTTCCGTTGACTGCATTCCGGTCTCTCGCTTTGAATGCCAAATTTTTATATATGTATATTATTTTTTTGGACCGACCTGAAGCTATACGCTCTCCAATTCATAGATGGGTCTATGGCCAATGCCGCACTCGTTCAACGACTCTGGCTTCGGTGTTCGGGCTTGAACCCCTGCGATTGGCCTTGGAATGCTCTTTATTTTTTGGCCAAAATAGATTTTTAAAGCTCCCCATTATTATTTCCTTACCTTCCTATATTCTAGATTTCATAAAATAAAAAACAAATACTAAAGCTTGAAAGAGTCAGTCACTTGCCTTAACTATCGTTGGAAATGGATTTAAATTATAAGAAATGTAATATTCCCAATCGATTTTAATTTGAGGGAACAGAATGTTAAAAATATGCAAACGACTTCGATTATAATTTGCCAACTGAATAATACCTCTTAATCTATGGACCAGTCTCTCTAGCACATACACTCACATACTTATATACATACATATTTATAAACTATATATATATATATTATATATAAACTTGATTTGTAGTTACAGAGTTGGGAAATTATAGGACCATCAAAGTGTCTCTAAGCTTCCAATATCCTTTTTTGATTTCATGTTCCAGAAATGATTTCACTTCATATAGAGACATATATATACATACATACATGTAGAGTAGGATCTAAGGATACATAAGTGCTTTTTAATGGAATATATAAAGACAGCAACACAGAGAGAAATAACAGCCCACATTGTGAGCCAGTAACAAGTAACAAGTAACAAAAAATGACATATGAACTAAATATACAGAGCATAGATATTACGTACATACATATTTATTATGAGTTGCTTTTAGTGTGATAATTCATTAGCGAAGCAAACATAAGTGAACAATTTGCGAAATAAATTCTAAGAAAACCAATCAAAGTTTGTTTTAATTTTAGATTTTTTTTGGGAGTTGTTAATAAATAAATACATACAATAACTAATTAAATTTTGAATTATAAAATATTTTCTTAATATATATTTCGAGTAATGAGTATTTCGTATAATTTTTAAACTTCGGTTTTAATTTGATACAAATTGGTTCACTTTATTATATAATTTTATTAAAAACAATCCATAAATGTTAGAGGAAAATTAATAACTGGTGACATAAAACTATAAATATTATAAATAAGGGTATGTAAATGTAATTTAAGATTCTATCATATTTTTTTATAATTTATATTGTATTAAATAATTAATTTGTGATAAGATTTATATTCCTTTTCATGGTATTATAATTTTAGTTCGAAGTTAGAAAACGCAGTGAAATAATCATTTCCGACCCTATAAACCATATATATTCTTGATCAGCCGAGTCGATTTAGCCATCTAAGGCAAAGAAAAATTTTTTTTTAATTTTTCAAAATTTTACAAGGGGTTACACCGTTAAAATTTTTAAAAATTCAACAAAAATTAAATTTTTTTAAATTTGTAAACTAAATATGCAGATTTTTTTGAGCTATTAAAAACTAGCATAGAAATGCTTTCCGAATTAAAATAAATATTATTTTTGTTGTGATCTATTTAGAATTCCGCTTCCTGATCCAATTTCAAGCTCCTATTTTTGTTTTTAAAACGATTTTAAAAATGATATACCCCTTGCAAGAGCATAAAAACACAATTTTTTATAGAAATAATCTTTATGTTAATTTTTTCTTTTATTAAACAAGAGTTCGGGTCACATCTGGGAATGAGAATGGGTTCAGTAGCCGGATGATCCCTGGCTGCAAGGAGCTGGGGTAAAAACGCTCTGGCAACCGAAGACATAATTTCTGGGACATGGAGGGGCGGGAATCGAGGCTCCGCCGTAGGATGGAGCAGGAGCTGCAGCCGGAGCTCCATAGCCACCAGCTGTCCTTGCCATTCCAACGATGTGATCCATGTACATGCGGGCATAGCCGGAGGATTTCGGAGCAGCAGCGGGAGCCGAGTATCCACTGGATTCCTTGGCAGGTGCTGCGTAGCCGGAAGACGCCGGAGCAGAGTATCCCGAGGAGGAAGCGGGAGAAGCCTTCGGTGCTGAATATCCAGAGGATGCTGGTGCCGCAGCTGGAGCAGCCGGTGCTGAATATGCTCGCGATGCTGAATAGCCCGAAGAAGCGGGTGCCGAGTACGATGGAGCAGCAGGCGCTGAATAGGATGGAGCAGCGGGTGCCGAGTAGCTAGGAGCAGCAGGTGCTGAATACGATGGAGCAGCGGGAGCTGAATAAGATGGAGCAGCAGGCGCTGAATAGCTAGGAGCAGCAGGTGCTGAATACGATGGAGCAGCAGGCGCTGAATAGGATGGAGCAGCAGGTGCTGAATAGGATGGAGCAGCAGGCGCTGAATACGATGGAGCAGCAGGCGCTGAATAGGATGGAGCAGCGGGTGCTGAATAGGATGGAGCAGCGGGAGCTGAATAGGATGGAGCAGCAGGCGCTGAATAGGATGGAGCAGCAGGCGCTGAATAACTAGGAGCAGCAGGTGCTGAATAGCTAGGAGCAGCAGGCGCTGAATAGCTAGGAGCAGCAGGTGCTGAATACGATGGAGCAGCAGGAGCAGAGTAAGACTGAGTCTTTGGTGCTGAATAGCTAGATGATGGTGGTGCTGAGTATGAAGGTGCAGCAGGTGCGGAATACGAAGGTGCAGATGGGGCAGAGTAGGATGGAGCGGCGGGAGCTGAATAAGATGATGATGAGGGTGCTGAATATGATGGGGCAGCAGGCGCTGAGTATGATGGAGCCTTTGGCGCGGAATAAGATGGAGCAGCTGGGGCTGAATACGATGGAGCTGCAGGAGCGGAATAGGATGGAGCTGCAGGAGCTGAATAGGATGGAGCTGCAGGCGCTGAATAGGATGGCGCTGCAGGCGCTGAGTAGCTTGGAGCTGCGGGTGCTGAGTACGATGGAGCAGCTGGTGCGGAATAAGATGGAGCTGCAGGAGCTGAATAGCTTGGAGCAGCTGGAGCCGAGTACGATGGAGCTGCAGGTGCTGAGTACGATGGAGCAGCTGGGGCAGAATAACTGGGAGCTGCAGGCGCTGAATACGATGGAGCTGCTGGCGCTGAATATGATGGAGCTGCAGAAGCTGAATACGACGGAGCTGCAGGCGCTGAATAACTTGGAGCAGCAGGCGCTGAGTAGCTTGGAGCAGCTGGAGCTGAATAACTTGGAGCAGCTGGAGCAGAGTAAGATGGAGCTGCTGGCGCTGAATACGATGGAGCCTTTGGTGCTGAATACGATGGAGCCGCGGGAGCCGAGTATCCCTGAGACTTGGGAGCCGAATAGCTGGCCTGCGAGTTGTAGACGACCGGAGCAGCATAGGCCTGGGACGGAATATCACGACCGCGGCGCTCTTCGTAGTCGAACTCCGTCTCGGGAACAGCATCCTCGAACTCCTCGTTCTCGGTGGCCGAGACCGGAACCGCCATGGCGGCCCACAGGCACCCCAGGACCAGCAGTGTCCGCAGCAGTCGTTGTCCGAACATGTCTCACTTAATTTTGACTGAAGTTCCGACACCAGTTGCGGTTTTTATATGGCCGGAAAGAAAGAACAATTCAGCGAAATTTGCGGACTCACCTGCACTGACTGGAGGGGAATGGAGAATGAAGAATTGCGCAAGTGCAGTCTTTGGCTTGGAGTCTTTTCTGCATTTCGGGCACTTTGGTTCCACTTAAATTCGCTGGATTCGAACTTACGTTCAAGTCAAATCGATTGGGTACTAAAACTTAATCCCAACTATCTTGATACTCTTTTGTTCTAGAATATGATTTTTTTAGAAGCAAGTAAAATATAAAGTCTACAAAGTCTTTATTCGTAGGATATTTATCTGAAAGATTTTGTTTTATGTAGTTATTATTAATTTTGGGGACTGCATTCGGATTTCCCCATTCAAAGCACTCGTTTTTCTTTTCTTTTCTAAAGTAGATTTGTTCTATTTATTTCTGCCTTGAATAAATAAATATGACACTTCAATGACTGAACCCACAACTAATGTGGCGCAGCACTAGCTCCAAGGGAAAAGAGTATTCAGAGCGATTTGTCAGCAAGTCAGCACTTTCCCTATTAAATCTCGGTCATCAGCGGAATGCTGAGCTGTCGATATGTGGGTTCAAGTGCCACTCTTTTTTTTTGTACCAATACAGCAGAGTTACATATGTAATCATTTAATTATTACAGCAAATAAAAAATAAATTATAAAATAAGACATAAAAATGTTTGGCGTATTGAAATATATTTTATTTAAATATAAATAAAATAAATTTTAATACAGAATCATCCATCAAATATAAAGAATTATAAATTTGTCGTTAGAAAAAGTATTGCATATTTAAAATAACCTCCAGTTGGCGCTCTGTGTAGTAGTTATCGATAACAATTATAATCAGAATCCCTCTTGATAACGGTGTTGATACAATTTAACAGTTTATTTTATAATGAATGTAATGTATGTATATAATATAACATATGTGACAAATAACATATGTGACGATTGTAAATTCTGGTAATTTTGTACTTAGATTTAATTATACTAATCCAATAGTTCAAAGAAAAGGCTTAAGCAGAGATACGAACCATATCAAACCATATCATTCATGTTAAAATCAATCGATACATCGATGCACTTAGATTTAATTATACTACACAAATTGTTAACAGAAGAAGCTTAGCAGTGACACGAACCACAGCGAACAAACATCGATACCATGCAGGCAAAAATCAATCGATACATCGATGCGACTTCCAGCACTGATGGGAACATCAACACGTCAACGATTCTTCCTCTTCATCGCAAAATAGCGGCAGCGGCGAGTTTTACCATTTCTCACCTCCCGGAAAGTGAACAAATTAACAATCATTAAATAAATAAGTGATTGTGGGCGTCCAAAGCGTTACTCGGCGATTGGATTGGAATTGGATTTTCGCAAGGACAGCTCAGCTGAAAGCGTACAACCGAACGGGACACGTAAGTGGAAAGCGGCACTTGGAAGGCAACCGATGGTGCCCGGGGAGCGGGGCGGGGGGCACAAAAGACAGCTGCTTGCGTTGCAAAAAGAAAAGAAGTAGAAGTAGTGATAGAAGTGCGAGAATAGCGGAAGAAATGTGGGAGTAGCGAAAAGGTTAATGCTCTCTTCCAGTCACTTTTGTGCGAAACCCCCAAATTTCTCAACAAGTTCACCTGTAAATTTATATCTTAACCTGATCCGCAGGCGTCCCTCTCTCTCTCCCAAAAGTTGCCACATGGAATATTAAATGAAAGCAAGATTGATTTTTAAATCTCTTAAATCGGAAACATATATGGTTTTCTCGGGGTGTGTAATATTAATTTTAAAAAAGTTAGAAAGTAACCAAAATCAAACACCTTATTGGAAGCCAACATATTCCAAGAACAATCTAGAAAAATAGCCTATCTGGAATTATTCCAAGTAACTTCAATGTTGTCTTTCACTGGAACGACAAGTTCCAGACGATCATTGGGGATCTTTAAGGTTTCATATTATTTCCAATTTAAATATCATATTCTTCTGGACTTATAGAATTGGAAAAATGAAACTGTTGCTGGCTTTGAGCGCCTTGCTGGCGGCAATTGGCCTGTCGCAGGGTGCCGCCGTCATGTCCGTGGATCTGGGCACCGAGTGGATGAAAGTGGGCGTTGTGTCGCCGGGTGTGCCCATGGAGATTGCATTGAATCGGGAATCGAAGCGCAAGACGCCGGCCATTCTGGCCTTCCGCAACGGTGTCCGGACCATTGGCGAGGATGCGGAGACCATTGGAATCAAGGATCCCAGCTCGGCATACGGCTATCTGCTGGACTTGCTGGGCAAGACCATTGATAATCCCGTTGTGGACCTCTACAGGTATGTAGCGAAGGCTCAAGTATGGGCCACGTCATGCCTCGACTCTATGCTAATCTCATATTGATCTCTCTCTCACGCTGTCTGGTAGGAAACGCTTCCCGTACTACAACATCGTTGGTGATCCGGAGCGCAACACTGTGGTGTTCCGCAAGAGCGATACCGAGGAGTTCTCCGTGGAGGAGCTGGTCGCCCAAATGCTGGTGAAGGCCAAGCAGTTCGCCCAAGAGTCCACGCAGCAGGCAATCACCGAGTGCGTCCTCACTGTGCCCGGTTACTTTGGCCAGGCGGAGCGAGAGGCGCTCCTGGCAGCTGCACAACTGGCCAACCTCAAGGTCCTGCAGCTGATCAATGACTATGCTGCTGTGGCCCTCAACTATGGCGTGTTCCACCGCGGCGAGATCAATGAGACGGCACAGTATTTCCTCTTCTACGACATGGGCGCCTACAAGACCTCCGCCGCCGTGGTCAGCTATCAGCTGGTGAAGGATAAGCAGACCAAGGAGGTGAATCCAGTTGTCCAGGTGCTCGGCGTGGGTTTCGATCGGTCACTTGGTGGACTGGAGATCCAGCTGAGGCTGCGCGACTACCTGGCCGCAGAGTTTAATGCTCTGAAGAAGACCAAGACCGATGTGACCACTAGTCCCCGCGCTCTGGCCAAGCTTTTCAAGGAGGCAGGACGCCTTAAGAACGTGCTGTCGGCGAACACTGATCACTATGCCCAGATCGAGAATCTGCTGGAGGATATTGACTTCAAGCTGGCGGTTTCACGCGAGAAACTGGAGGAAATCTGTGCGGATCTCTGGCCGAGGACAACGAAGCCGCTGGAGCAGGCTCTGGCCTCATCGCACCTCAGCCTGGATGTGATCAATCAGGTTATCTTGTTCGGTGGCGGCACCCGTGTGCCCCGTGTCCAGGAGACAATCAAGGCGCTGATCAAGCAGGAGCTGGGCAAGAACCTGAACGCTGACGAGTCCGCCACCATGGGAGCTGTGTACAAGGCAGCCGATCTCTCGGCCGGCTTCAAAGTGAAGAAGTTCGTGGTCAAGGACGCGGTGCTGTATCCGCTGCAGGTCTCATTCGAGCGGGATCCTGGTGATGGTGCTGCCGTCAAGCAGGTGAAGCGTGTCCTCTTTGCCCTGATGAATCCGTATCCCCAGAAGAAGGTCATCACGTTCAACAAGCACACCGATGACTTTGAGTTCTTTGTCAACTACGCGGACCTGGATCGCTACAGCCAGAACGACATCACTGCCCTGGGCAGCCTGAACGTCACCAAGGTGGAGCTGAAGCAGGTCAAGGAGCTGCTGGAAAAGTCCAAGAAGGAGGTGGTGGACAACAAGGGTATCAAGGCGTTCTTCTACCTCGATGATTCTGGCATCTTCCGCTGCACAAACGTGGAGTACGTGTACGACAAGCAGAAGCTCGAGGAGGAGGCCGATGAAGACGACAGCACGCTCTCCAAGCTGGGCAGCACGCTGAGCAAGCTCTTCACCAAGGATGGCGAGGAGAAGAAGGACAAAAAGGAGGACACTGAGCAGGTGGAAGAACCATCTGCCACTGGCGAAGAGCCACCCAAGGCTGAGGAGGATAAACCCAAGCAGGAACAGGCAGAGGAGGAGGACGCCAGCAACAAGGAGCCCAAGTCTGAGGAGAACAAGCCCGAAAGCGGTGATGCCAAGGAGAAGAACGAGACAATGAAGCTGGTGACAGTCAAGACTCCGGTCACTTACCAGTCGCAGCTGCAGTTCACCGCTCCGCTCGCTGGCACCGGCTACGACAGCTCTCTGGCCAAGCTGACGGCCATTAACCAGGCGGAGGAGCAACGCGTGCGCCTGGAGTCCGCCTTCAACGCCCTGGAGTCGCACATCATTGAGGTGCAACAGAAGCTGGACGAGGACTCTTATGCCAGCTGCGTTACAGCCGAGGAGAAGGAGAAGCTGCTGGCCGAGTGCAGCACCCTGGGCGAGTGGCTGTACGAGGATCTGGAGGATCCCAAGGCGGAGATCTATGAGGACAAGTTGGCGCAGCTGAAGAAGCTCTCCAACGTCTTCCTCGCCCGCCACTGGGAGCACGAGGAGCGACCGGAGGCCATCAAGGCGCTGAAGGGTATGCTGGAGCATTCGGAGAAGTTCCTGGCCACCGGACGCAACCTCACCAAAGAGACCAATCCTGAAAAGGATGTCTACACACAGGTGGAGATCGATACGCTGGCCAAGGTGATCGATGAGACCAGCACCTGGCTCAAGACCGAAACGGCCGCCCAAAAGAAGCTGGCAAAGAACGCCGACATTCGACTGACCGTCAAGGACATCACCGACAAAATGGGACTGCTGGACCGCGAGATCAAGTATCTGGTTAACAAGTCCAAGATCTGGAAGCCCAAGGCCAAGCCAGCCGCCGACAAGGACAAGAAGAAGGATAAGGATGGCGAGGAGGCGACGTCTGCCGGCGGCAGTGGCGATGACAGTGCCAAGCCAGAGACGGCGGAAGAGCAGCAGGAGCAGCCGGAAGTCGAACAAGAGCCCGTCGAGGAGATCACACCCACGCCTGCCGGCACGGACGAGGACAAGACGCCACACAGTGAGCTGTAAGCGGGCCAATGGTGATGAAGCAGCTGAAGCCGGAGCAGCAGAAGGCCAAGGGGCCTGGCCCAAAATCTACAGGGGGGGAAATCAAACCACACGGGGGAAGGGCCAGGCCACGGCCTAGGCGCCGCCAAGGCAGCTTAATTTCTATGATTTTTTTTCCTTGTATGTATTCAAGCTAGCTAAAGTGGGGGTGCAACAACTATGCTACTTCTCTAATTCTAATTCTAAACACAAATCAACAAAACAAAACAACACACAAAGCATGAAAACACAAGTTGTAAACCGTAAATGTAAAAATTATACCATTTTCCATACCATTCCGCTGTGCTTTCGGTTGCATAGGAAATACAAGACTTGAAGTACTCACTTGTGCGACTCCTGGCCTCTCTCTTAATGTAGACGCAGCGTACTCTAGATATATACACATATATGCATCCACTATATCGATTTATTTGTACTTGTATTTGTAGCGAAAGTAGCGAAACGAAACGAATTGGGGCGGGCGGAGAGTGGAAGAGCTCAAACATAGGATCGTAATAATAAATCTGAAAATTGAATAAAGTTTGTATTTGTATTTATTATTAGTTTAGTTTTATTTTAAATAACCCAGAGAAATCAACATGTGTGTTTTGCGATTCATAAAGATCACCTGTTCAAACAAGATTGAGTCTTGGAAGAGACGCCAAAACAAAAGCCATTCAATGTCTGGGCTTATTCCCAATAATATGAAGGTTCTACTTCCTTCCACTTCCCCCTCTAGGGGGACCTGATCCCAGCTTAATAATACAAACAAAAACCAAAGGATTCACCTAAAAATTTTGATTCCTTTTTAATTTCCTATTTATTTTCCTGCATTTCCAGCATGAGAACGCGAGGCCAGCTCACTGGGCTTGTGTACGGACCGGATTCCATTGCCCATAGTCGATGGTGGTCGCCGCATCATACTCCTGCACCAGGCAGTCAACCACATCGCGGGCATTATCCAGATCCGAGAGATCATCCTTGAACATGGACACGCGACGAAAATTGTCTACGAAAGCGTTGCGCTTCTTTAGCTTGTCGAACTGCATAATGGCTCGCTCGAACAGGGCACTGATGGCGGTATTGTTGGCCATCATAAGGCCGGAAACCTTGTGCGGCGTCTGGACAAAGGGTGAGGTGCGCGAGACGGCCACCTGGATGCTAGCAGGTCCCCAGGGTATGAAGTTGACCAGCTTGCGTTCGCGGATGCGCTGCAGCGATTTATGTACCTGCGAGGGATCCACCTCGCCCTGGATGATGGTCAATATGCCAAGGAAGCAGTTTTCCTTCTGTTTGATCTGCTTGTCCGCCGAGGTGGAGACCATCATGTTCTTCGGCTGCAGCAGGCGACGCATTACGTCCAGGACAGTGGTCTTGCGCACACTGTTTATGGCCTGGAAAGGATGACAACATTAGTCTGGGTTTAGCAATCAGCCAACTCACCTCCATGTCCGTGTTCAACGGCGTATATCCCGTCATCAGGAAATGCATCCGAGGAGTGGGAATAAGCGGAGCCGTCAGCCCAATCAAGGTGTTGTTCATGTACGATGGATAGCGCAAAGTGGTGGTGCTGACGCTCATAATGGTGGACACCAGGTTATTTATCTGACTAAACGTTGGCGTCTGGATGTGGAGGCGGTCCGAGGCAATACGGTTCAGTGCCGTGTTGTCCAGAACGACAACGCTATCAGCGCACTCCGTCAGACGCATCAGCGTGAGAATCGAGTTGTACGGCTGGACAACCACATCGCTGACCTCATCCTGGTTGGGAAACACGCTGTACGTCTGAATGAGCTTCTTCGAGTAGCGATCCGACAGGCGTTCCAGGACGAAAGAGCCCATGCCGGACCCAGTGCCACCTGCGATCGAGTGGCAGAGCACAAAGCCCTCCAAGGAGTCACTGTTCTCCGCCTCACGATCGATAATGTCGAATACCTCCTCCTGGAAGCGCTCACCCTGGCTGAAGCCAGAGGCCCAGTTGTTGCCGGCACCGCCGCCGTCCTTTGAGAGGAACACGTTCTCCTGGTTGTAGAGCTATTCCAGTAAATAGAATATGCAGTTATCCGCCATATGAAAGAGTAACACAAAAAGAATGCCTGTGGGGCGTACCTTGGAGTACGGCGTGGTATTGATGCCCTGGATGACGCGCGGCTCCAAGTCAATGAGCACTGCACGTGGAATGTAGTGACTGTCGTCCGCCTGATAGAAGAACACATCCTTGCGGTCCTGGGCATCGGTGGCGAACTCCTCGAGGACGCCATCGGGCGAGATGCCGTGTTCGAGGCACAACCTCTTCCAAAATTCGAAGCCAACTGCGCAGCTGCACGGATTAGCGATCGTATCCTTAATTATTTTAATTACTTACTCTGATTGCCACATTGGCCCAACTGCAAGGTCATTATTTCGCTCGGCATTTTGTTGCCAATTTTCAGCTGATTGCAATTTTTATTTTTTTCAGTTCTGTTCTGTTCGGTTTTCCTCCTTCTGCTTCACACCGAATCCAACGGTTCTTCGTTAAGTTTAGAAGTAACGGGAGATGACAACTAATTGAAATTAAGAATATCGATATACTTGCGTGCAATACGATTTTTTTTGGCTACTTTAAGTTTAATTTTAATTAAAGTTGCAGTTACATCCAAATATAAGCCTAAACAAATGATAATACTGAAAGGAGCAAGCAAAACAAAGCTTACATTGATGCAATAAAAATTGAGAGCCAATTGCTTAATTTTCAACATAGCTCGATATGAACCAAGTGACTCCAAATTTAAATACCTCTGAAAGCAACCAATTTCGCGGTGCTTATCGATGTGCGTATCGAAACGCGTCATTCGTTCCGATTACAATTGCTTGTATCGATAGTGCTCCCATGTTGTGCCAGCACTATTAAGCATTAAAATCGGAAACCTGAACAAAAAGATACGAAAAGGCGGACGTGCGTGGACCTAAAAAATTTTCGCTGCTGTGTGCGTGTATTATTTTGTTGTTTTTTTTTCATTCCTGGCCTGGCCTCTTGAACAATTTTCTCAGCTGCGTTCGCTGTTTTGCTGACAAGCGTATTTACCGAGAGTGTTTGTGTGTGTTTTTCAGTGGCTGTGTGGGAGAAGAGTTGCTGTTTTCCGTTTCTGTTTTCTGTTGCTGTTTTTTCGTGTGTCTGTGTTTCTTTTAGTGTTCCATTCCGTGCAAACAAAGGAGTTCTTCGGTCGGTTAAAGTTCGGCAAGGGGTGGACGGGGGGCTGTGCTCCGTTCACATTTGGTTTTTGCTTAAATATTGATAAATGATTAAATCCACTTACAGCAGACTGCTGCGAGTGCTATGTGCCAGTGTGTGTGTGTATGCAATGCTGAAAACGCAGACGAATAGAGGGAGTGAGGGTGGGGAAATGAAGGGCCGATAGGCAGAGAGATGGCCGTGGGGAGGGGTGGGGGGAAAGGTTATGCATGATGGACGGCACGACAGCAGCTGGCTCTCAGCTGCCGCAAGCGCACAGTGGAGCCTCGAAAAGATTTTGGCTTAGATTCGGTTTCAGATTTACAATTCGATTTTGACACTCTGCTCCCTGCACTTCCACGTGTGTGTGTGTGTGTCTTTCAGGCAGCCTGGCTGGCCGAGTGTGCGTGTGCCAACTGACTTTCGATTCCTCTTTAGCACAGAATTTCTTCTGTGCTGCCATCATTTTTCTTTCATCGCTGCTTGCTGCCTTTCGAACTTTTTTCGTATACAAGTTTTCCATGGAGCGCAATTGACAAACGCAGCAGAAAACAGTAGCTGACGGAGCACCATAGGCCCACAGAGGGGGGTGGAGGAGTCTGCAAACACCTAGTGTTATTTGAGTTTGGGTTTTCTAAACTTTCTGCTTCTTCGATTCCGATTCCGATCGTTGCGTAGGCAAGAAGACCTGCTCTCTAACCATGCCAGTGACAGTGCGAGTGCGAGCGGGATGCAAGCAATACAGCTATTTGCGAAAGTGTGCGTGAGGTTTGTCTGCCCGACCTGCGTGCCTCTGAGTGTGTGGGTGCCTATGTCAGTGTATGTGTGTGTGTGTGCAAACTGCTGTTTGTTGTTTTTGTTTTGGCCTGCAATAATAGGAAAGGAAATAACACAAGTCAGCCAAGTGAAACACGTGTTTAAACTAATTTAACGTTCTTCCAAATAATCAAAACTTATAAACTAAATAAAGGTGCAATCAACATAAGACCAGGACATTGGTTAATGTAAAAAAACGAACAGCAATAAGCGAAAATAAAAAGAACGGAAAAAGGAAAACGGACTCGCAAATCCAACGGGAAAAAGCAAGAAATCAAAGTGCAAATTGAACACCAAAAAGCAAAAAGAGAGGCAGAGCGAGAGACGCACACAAGAGAGCGCATGCTGGGCGCCGCAGGAGAAGAAGAAGAAGCAGCAGAGGCAGCCGCCGCCGCCACAGCAGTACAGTGAGAGTGAAGTAAAGTGGAGCAGGAGAGAGGAAACAGGGTGCTCTGAAGAGCCAAACGAAAACAACAAAGAAGTGAGGCGTCTGAAGAAGTCGTCGTTATTAATCTACCTCCAAACAAAAGCAAAACTAATCTAAAAGCACAATAACTTCAAAACAAGTTGCATACGGTAATAGTAAGACATGAAAATGACAAAAAAACTAAGAAAAAACAATCAACAAACCAAGTCAACACCAAGCGACATCCACTGAAAGCGCCATCTAGCGACGGCGAGCATAACTAGCATCTGTCAGACAGAGGAAAGGAAGACCAAGACACTGATAAAGAGACGTGGAGAGAGAGCCAGAGCAAAGAGAGGAGCACAACAATTTCTGCTGCGCCAGTAAGTGAAACACAAACAACAAAAGCCAGGCGAACTGCGACTTTTGGCTTTCTTCGCTGCCCGCCGTTGTAGTTGTTACTGCTGCTACTGTCTCCCCGTCCCCATTGTCATCGCAACAGGAGAGAGCGAGACGAGGCGAGCCGAGCCGGGAGCCGATAGCAGAAAGCTGAGTGTGGAGTGAGGCGTGTGGAGAAAGGAGAGCGGGGGAGAGATAGCTCCCCGCAAATATCATCTCACCTCCGATTGGACCAGAAAGTAATCACAATAACGAAGAAGTTAAACTCCGACCAGTTGCCTTTTTTGCCCGCCACAAGATGGCGTGCCTTAACACCCTGAAGCAGGAAATCAAAACTCTGGAAAAGATCTTTCCCAAGAACCACGAGCGCTTTCAGATCCTCAATTCCAGCGTCGACGAGCTCCTCTGCCGGTTCATCGACAAGAACGGGAAGCGATACGACATTCATGCCAACATAACGGTAAGTTCAACTGACCCCCGCTTTGCACCCACGCATACGAACACAAACATACATACATACATGAGTTAGTTAATATGCACACCGAGAGAAAAAAAGTGTAGGTTCCCCTTTGCAAATCCTTCCAGATGATAAGTCATTTCGAATTTCCCTTGTTTGTAAATGTAAAATAAATAGAGAGTTCCTCTAGGGGAAAGTTCATCATATCCCAATAACTGGCTTATATACTCAATAGTAGGGAATTGCATCCAATGTATAGAAAGGTAAACACTCGGCAGAGTCACTAGAGATTGCCCGTAGTATTGGCCAGCATTCCCTTATCGGGGAAACCTTATCAGAAACTGTTTTTTTTCGCTTTGCTATTAATTCAGCAACACAGATTTCCATTAAATGCACAATTCTTTGGCTTTAGCTTTAAGTTGTTTACCATGTGAGTCACATTTGGAAAATGGAAAAGCACCTTAATGGGCTCCTAACAAAATCTCCCATGAAACTGACCTTCTCGTCAATTTTAAATGTAATTTTCGCAATCAGCAGCACTGCAAATTGCATACGAATACAAACATTTTAGCAACATTGGAAGTATAAAGCAAGCTCAGAACAAATAATACAAAAATAACAAATGGTTTTAAAAAAAGAGGTACACACATTTGTTATCTTTGTGCAATTGTGGTGGCTTATCTTACTCATAGTTATTTCAGATCGCGGTGAGATTGGTACGGAACAGAAGGAGTAGTTCTATCAAAGAAGCCAAGTGCTTACAATTGGGATTGCCATTGGGGGCTTGATAAGTGGGAGTGACTAAGCTCGGCACATGTTTTTATTCTTAATCTGTTCACTAATTATTCGCTTTTAGAAATGAGTATAGAATTTGTAGGTAGATTGCCAGGATCTTTAAGTATATTTAGGGTCTTTTCGTTCGATTTTCATTACAGTTTAATTAAAGTTGTAACATAAACTTATTCGCTTTTGAATATAATGAGCTCACTCTTTAATATTTCTCCAATTTAAAACTGGAATTTAGTTATTTTTTTTATTTAATTACTTATTTAGTTATTAATATTATATTTGCCGAGTTCATCTTTCCATGATCATTGTGTAAAGTCTTTATGTGAGAGTGTGTGAATTTATTATATTCTCTTGAATTTCTCCTTTCTTCCTTAAATTGCTTGCCATCCTTGTCTGGCCGTTCTTCCCGTTGTTCTTCCTCTTCTTCTCCTTTGTGCCGCTGATCTTAGTTGATCGTTCCATCTTCTTGCTCTCTCTCTGGATTGTTAGCATGTGTGAGTGTGTCGATTCTTCATTTCCCACGCTGCACAGTTGAGATGAAATTATATGTATATGTATGTGTTGGTCCACTCTCTGCCATGCTCTCTTCTGGCCTAGTCCTGCCCAGCCGATAACCGATCACATATCATTTACGTACGCGCTTACCTTTATTCGCAAATAACAAAAAAAAGCAAGGGCATGATTCACTCGTTGCTCGATCGATCAGATTGCAAAGCTCTCGTCCTCTGACGCTTCACCTCCTCCGTTCCAACTGATGAGCAGCTGTTCTCTGTGCAGTGATCCCCGCCTGGTTCAACGATCTAATTAAAGGTTATAATTTCGTACTTGCTGTCGTCGGATAAGTCGCTTTATTTTGTTTATTTACATGTGTATGCAAAGTAGATCTGTCGTCGGGCGACAAATTCACCTGAGAACAAACGAACGAGAGTGGAAAAACCAGAGATTTCTTTTGTCTGTCAAAGTCCTTGACCCACCCCACAACATGCGATTGGAAATAGTCAAGTTTTCCATGGCTAAATATATAGGAGGAACGACCGATCACATTCTTCTCTATCAAATTTCAAAGCTTCAAGAAATTTATTTAAAAGAAACTTACAAAGTATTTGTCCCACTTAATTGTTTATTTGGATATTGATACCGACTCGGGGGGTTTTCTCCAAGAGTAGCAATTTCAAAATAAACAGTGGGATCTTTTTGCATTTGGTTCTGCATTCATCATTACTTTGTATATAAACTTATGTATGTTTGTGTAAATAAATGAATATTAATAACAATGGATTGTCTTCTGTAGGAAACGTATCCCTCATCGCCGCCAGTTTGGTTTGCCGAGAGCGAGGAGACGAGCGTCACAAATGCCGTTCAAATACTTAGCAATACAAATGGACGTGATAATCACGTGATTAATCAGGTAAGTCACCAAATTATTTCCCAGGATACACAAATACTAATTTGCTATGCTCCCCTCCAGGTGGGCATACTGCTGCGTGAGCTGTGCCGACTACACAACGTTCCACTGCCACCCGACATCGATAACCTGGCGCTGCCGCTGCAAACTCCACCGCCATCCGCATCGCCACTTCGCTGCGAGCAGAGACCCGGCGGAGGTGGAGCGGGGGGCGGCGTTGGGGGCGGAGGACAGCATGGCGGTAACGAGGAGACCGACTCGGACCAAGAGGATATCGAGGACCCCATTGGCGAGAGCGAACAGGAGAGCGAGGGCGATGAGGATTTGCCGCTGGAGATGGATGATGTACGAAGTACAAACAAGGTGAGGCCTCAAACGGACTGGGACTCGATCTGGATCAAATTGAATCTGAGCAGCATCTCAAGACTATATTATTTGATTATCTGTTGCCTATTGAACCGTCTAAGGTTGCCAGGGTACTTTTTGAATCTGTTTTCCATTCTTAATTTATGTAAATCCATTTCCAATTATAAAATGTGCTTTAAGCTCACCATTTTGTTTATCGCTCATTGATCTACTGAGTGTTGCGTTTATTTTCGGATACCCTTAGCATTACTGACAACCAAAATTGTAATGATCTTGAAATATGTTTGGACTTGCAGAAGGACGACATGGAAGTGGAACATTTAGCGACCCTCGAAAGACTGCGTCAAAGTCAACGACAAGACTATTTAAAAGTGAGTTTATTCTAATGAGTATATTCTAATCTAAATGCATCTAAATTGAATTTGTAGGGTTCCGTTTCGGGTTCCGTGCAGGCAACCGATCGATTAATGAAGGAACTACGTGATATTTATCGATCGGACGCCTTCAAGAAGAATATGTATCAGATTGAGCTCGTGAATGAGTCGATTTACGAGTGGAATATACGCCTCAAGTCCGTCGATCCGGACAGTCCCCTGCACAGTGATCTGCTAATGCTGAAGGAAAAGGAGGGCAAGGACAGCATACTGCTCAACATATTGTTCAAGGAGACGTATCCATTCGAGCCGCCCTTTGTGCGGGTCGTCCATCCGATTATCTCAGGTAAGTCGCGTTCAGCCTTTTTTTTTTTGTTTTGTTTTGTGTTTTTTTTGTTTGGTTTTTTTTGGCAATTAAAATAAGCCATATATTATCAGGCGGCTATGTGCTCATTGGCGGTGCCATCTGTATGGAACTGCTGACAAAGCAGGGCTGGAGCTCAGCCTATACCGTGGAGGCGGTGATCATGCAAATAGCTGCCACTCTGGTCAAGGGAAAGGCGCGCATCCAGTTTGGAGCCACCAAGGTATTAACTGGACACTATATTATCTGTATATTTTTGTCCATACCAGCATACTCCCGTCTGCTATTATTATTTGTTGTACTTTTGCTAATACGCACTCTTGTTCATTAAACAGGCGCTGAGCCAGGGCCAATACAGTTTGGCTCGGGCCCAGCAGAGCTTTAAGTCGCTGGTCCAGATCCACGAGAAGAACGGTGAGTTGAGCCAGTTTAAGTTCAAGGAAGATTCATATTTTAATGATTGCATTTCCACAGGATGGTTCACGCCGCCCAAGGAGGATGGCTAAGACCGCTAGCCGTTCTAAACGCACACTTTCCTTCAGAATACAGCAAAACCACAACGCACCCGACACCCACACAGCCTGAAATCCTCACAGTCTCACACCCCCCGCTCATATCGACGAATCGGTCGTTCCTCCGCCCAGCAATTTCATTAGCCACATTCATAGTCACCTCTGGTGGGATCCGATCTGGTTCGAACCCCTTACGGAGGGGTTCACAGGATCGGAGAGAGTGCCAACGCGGCTCAAAGGGCGACAAAATATAATTGTTATAACTTGTTAATCGACCCAAATGGCCGCATTATGTAATTCCCTTCATTTTCAAGAAGGAAGATTTTTAAATGTCACTTGTCTTCTCCTCCTCAATGTATCTAACTGATCCCCTTCCACCCCCTTGTACCCACTAAACCACCTTAAAAATTATTTTTAACTTTGGGCCAAAACAAGTCCAATCCAGAGTCTTGGAATTGGATTTAAAGCAGGGGAGTTGGCAAGCCAAGATTTGTAAAATGTAAAGGCAATATCTGTTATTATGTATATGAATATAATTTGTAATCCAATTGTAAATGTTGTAGTGGCACTACCCCATCAATCACCTCATACACACACAAACACATACCACCATTACCACACACACACACCCTATTTGTAACTAGTTAAGATGCCTAATTGTATTCTTATTTTAGCTTACAAAAAATTGTGTAATCTTATAAAATATTTTTTCTCTAACATTAAGCGACAGCTAGCGAAAGCAGCAATGATAAGGGAAGAAGGCGCGATTGATGTGAAATCGAGCAGCATAGATTATATATATATATACACACTATACATACATATAAATACAATTATAAATACACATAAATATATATATATATTAAAACTAGCGCGAGAGTGTAGCTTAAGCAGAGCAACTTCTAATTGTAAATTCGTCTTTCCAAATAATCGTAAAATAACAAACGTAAACCTAAATCTAAATCTACATCTACACCTAGAGAAGGAAAAACAAAACAAATGCTAAGCTATAGAGCCAGATCAAGATAATGACGAGCGAACGGAAGGATCTTCAAATATATTTGCAAGCGTAATGCATTGAGAAGAGCGAGCAAACTTGGCTCTTGTCGCAGGCAGCTGCTGTTTTGTAGTTCCCTTATACAATTATGGTTTTTTTTATTACTCGTACAACGGCAGACAAAATTCAATTGTACATTTCAAACCCGATATTGGCGAGCACGACGAAATGTTCATTTTAAGTATGTATTTAATAAAGAAAGATATATACATGCATAATATCTATCTATGGTTTCTGTGTTTCCTAATATCCGATGGTGGCCTTAAAGTTCTTTCTATCTGCTAATGTTTTTTGTAAAAACCACCAAATCCTTGGGATTTTAAACACAAAACACAATACATGTCGTCTATTATGGCATTTAGAAAGGCATTCATGTTGGCCTTGCTCATAGTGTCAAATGCTTTGGAACCATTGTTCCATTCGTTGTGGCCTTGTTCATTGAGTCAAATACTTTGGGATCTCCCTTTCATAAGTTTCACAGAATTTTACAGAAATTAGTAAATTTTGTAGTCGATTGTGAGTTTTCTTTATACAAAAAAAAAGTTCTCAAAATTTCTATATAATAATAATCGTGCTCTCCTTTAGGTGTATAAGATATTGTAAAAATTATCGTAAAAAATGTGTGACGAACGTAATGGAAACGGTCAGGTGGTGAAGAGTAAGGGAACCCAGTATGAACGATCTGCGTTTAACACGCAACGTGTGGCCTCCTTCTTGGTAAAAGTATTGGTCGTAATCTCCGGACTTTTGTCTATATACACTCTCTATCGTCTGTCCACGGGAGCGATTCGTTGCTCGTGCACCAACAATATGCCGTGCTTCAATCCCTTCTTCCACATTATTAGTATTTTGCACCATCTGTGGAATAAGTTTCTCCAGCACTAAGTGAGCTCCGGTAAGTTTCGATTTCGATTATATTGACTTCATTGAATCCCTTGAATCACTCGCATACAGGCCAGGACCCCCAAAATCAGTTATATCCATCGTCTGGCTGCTTATGTTCGCTGTTTTTCGTTCTTGTTTTTGTTTTGTGTTAAAACACCCTTGGAAATTGGGCCGGAGAACTGGAGAGCCCAATACAAGTGGGTTTTCTTTTGAGTTTTATTGTGCATCCACCGGCAGCAGAAGCAGCAGTCGAAGATCCCTAATGCACAAGCAATGCACTATTAAATTAACCTAGTTCAGTGTTCTTTCTCTCTTTTTATTCGGGGCGAATCTCTCTTTCCAAGAAAGCTGATGGAACCACCTTATATGCATAGATGCCTCATGGAGTGCCCATATCCCATATCCCATATCTCCCTCTCCCTCTCTCTTGCGAAAGACTTCAAAGCAAAGATCTCCATTAGTACAGAAATTGCAGATATAATTACGACTTTATTTACTTTGCACTTACTTGGGTCCTACGAATAAAATAAGCTAGACTAATTGTGTTTAATTTAAGGTCCTTGGTTGGTGTTAGTCCACGTAAACCACGTACTTTTGCGCCGCCCTGGAGGGTTGCATTCTTGTTACCTTGGGCAAGCCTTCCATATAGACTGACGGCTTACGTGACGGCTGGACGTTTTTTATTGAAAGTCCGAGGAGCATGTCTATGGAGCCCTTCAGGTGCATCAACTCGAAGGTTAGCAGGGTTTCCTCATAGACAGCAACCGACAGCCGTTCCATGGCCTTGAGTAGCTTCGGGCTGCAGCCCACCAATTTGCGCTCAAACACATTCAGTACTACGGAGGCGGCATTCAACAGCGGCCTCATAAACCGAATCTCGCTAAGGTACTCGCACAAAAAGTCGATGATTTGGATGAGGGTGGCCTCGGTTCGACCGATTAGGGCCTTGCCCAAGGAGCGTCGACGGAGTAGGTCAATAATTACGGCCACCACCAGCTCCGGCTTCTCCTCAACTTTCTGCGCCTGCAGCACATCGTCGAGCGCCTTCTTATGGTTAAACCGCCTCAGGTGGACGTCGTAGGATTTCAGGCCCGTTCCCTTGGTCCTCTCCTTTATGACGTGGTCCACCGGCTGGTCGGGGACATCGGGATCGGGGTCGGCGTCCACCTTCTTTTGTCTCTGCTTTCGCTCCCGTTCTGCACGGATCTTTCTCAGGTTACTCGGCTTGTTCTCCGTTATCATGCGGCGAATAACCATCAGTCCATCGACCATGCCGGCCACAACAGCCTGATCCCCGGCCGCCACGGCCAGACTGACCACGGCATTCGGATAGTTGATTGTGTGCACAGTTTTGTACGTACTCACATCGTAGATTTTTACGTGCCGATCCAAGCCTCCGGAGAACAACCGGCGACCGTCCGATCCCAGACTCAAGCAGGTGACAGTCTTGTGATGCTGCGACATCATCGTAAGCAGCCGGCAGCCATTGATCATGTCCCAAACGCGTATCTGGGTGCCACCGGCGCTGACGAAGACTCCTCCGTTGGGCAGGAAGACCAAGGACTCCACGGGCGCCCCGTGATCCAAGTCGTGTTGCACTGGCATCTCCTGCCGCGTATCATACAGATTGATCTTGCCGTCGTAGCCACCGGAAACAAACATGTATCCCGCCTGCGGATGCGTGGCTCCTGCCCGGATGTAGTCCGTGTGGTAGTCTTCGTACGTCTGCACCACCTTCTCGTTGGCCACATCCCATAGTCGCACCGTCTTGTCGTCGCTAAAGCTGGTCAAGTGCACTTTGTCTGCCGTAAAGAAGGTCCGATGCACCGGTGCTTTATGTCCCTTGAAGAGGCGCAGGATGCTTCGGTTGGTAGTGTCGAAGAGCTTTACGTAGCCCTCCTCGTCGCCGGCGGCTAGCAGCCGGCCATCCTGCCGAAACGCGGCTCCGTAGGCGGACTTCTGAAACCTCGAGAGATTCTTCACCACCAGCTTGGTCACCAAATTGTAGATTTGCACTCGCACCGAGGAGGTCACTGCAAAGTTGTCTGGGTCGGAGGAACTGAAATCCAAGTAGTCTACTGCGTTGTGTTCCTTAATTTGTTCCGGTTTCTGAATGGTATTGAAAAGCAAAGATCATAAATTAGTAAGAGTTGGATCTCTCGTCATTGCTTCATTGTACCGCCAGGCGCTTCCAGTAGATTGTGTCCGGGGTTTCCACGTACGCCCGCTGCTGGAGCCTTCTTATGTTTAAGGGGAGGAAGTTGTTGCTGTGCATCCTGGCTGTGGGTTGTTATCCAGAAAAAGCTATTCGCTTGTTCGTTAGTTGGCGCGCACGTGCTCCAACAACAACAAAAAAAAATATATGGATCAACCGTGGTCTCGCAACCGCATTGCGCATGAAGACTTATCGAATTTCGATAATCAATCTGGCTATAAATAAGAATTAATGGAAATTGAAGAATAATTAAAATTGTTAAGCTGATATAAGACTCCCAAATATTTATTATTAATTAACAACATCAGAAACAAACGGCCTTTTGCCATTAAATCGAAAAATCAATTGAGTTTGTTATTTTTATAGCTATTTTTAGCTACTTGTTGTTCCACCTACATCTTTTTCTTCTCGATGTTGGCACAGTTATCGATAGGCGAACGGTGCTGCGTGTACACAATCAAACACATGTTTGCAACAACAAAAATAATAGAAACAAGCCGAGGCAGCAAAAACAACAACAACAAGAACGGCGCACAGCACATATGCTCGCTCCGTGGATGTAGAAAATATAGAAACACATTTCCAAATTGCGAAGCGAATTGCTGTGATCTACTGGAAACCGCACTTGGGGAGGAGAGGCAGCGGAGAGCAGAGGAGCGCCCGAGTAACCGCCTCCGTCGCGTAATAATAGTTGGGGCAGCAGCCCATCATCGGCCTGGACGTTCCGGTTCGGGTTGAGATCTCGCGTGCCCGACGCCGCCGCCGCCCGGCAATAACAATAACAAATTCGCTTTTAATTGAAATTTATTTGTTGTGATGCGGCTGCCACTGGGGGCAGCCCGTAGAGTGTAGTCGTAGACCGTAAACCATAGTCCGTGGTCCGTAGCCAGTAGCCAGTCGCCAGTTGTCAACCTTCATTGCCGCCACGCCCCCCAAATCTTAATTAACCGGAGGAGCAACGCGACGCTAAAGAATTGAGCATGTTAATATGTTAATTGGAAGCAATCAATGTGCCTGAAGCCCTCGCTCGAATCGAACGCGAACGGAAGCGATCCCGTGGAGTCCGCATCGGAAGAGCGGTTAGTCTAGCGATGGAAGCCATGGAGGAGGAACGCAACGAGAAGAAGGTGCTCTGCGAGAAGATCATTCGGGACATCAATGCGGTGTTCCTCAAGGATCAGGATCTGTAAGTGACATCTGTTCCCCTCCAAACCTTGAGAAATCCAATCGAATCTATGATTTCTGCAATCGGAGATAACCAATCTTGAAGTGTGGCCAGTATTTATGACTGCTTCTTGATTTCTGGATAAGATTAGACTTAAATAATTATGATTCTGCATAATTTGTTCGGGTTCTGATTTGGAATTCCAATCCAATCCAATCTGCTTCACCAATAATTAATGTTTGCCCTTCCACAGCGCCTCCTTCGAGATCATTCCCAAGGAGACCAATTGCAACAAGTCTCCGGTGGTGCATGTGGAGCACAATCTGGGTCTGGAGTCGTGGTGTGCCCAACATGTCTACGATCATGCCCATCGAACTCTTATCTCACACCGGCGTCAGTCGTCGCAGCAGCAGCTACGAACCCTTCAGCAGCAGCAGCAGAGCGATGTTCTGGCCAAGTACCTGAATGTGGCGCTGCTAATAAATCCCGATGTAACCACCTTCTGGCACATCCGCCGCCAGCTGGTGCAAAAGAATCGGCTGAGCATCAACAAGGAGCTGCAGTTTTCTGCCCTGGTGCTCTCCATCAAGCCAAAGTCCAACGAGGCGTTCGCATATCGGCGTTGGCTCTACTCCTTTCAAAGTAAGTGCTGGACATAGAGGAAATTTGATGTAATTAATACAAATACCAATTACAGGTGCCGATGCCATCGACTGGCCTAATGAGATTGGCATTTGCGAGCGGGCGGCCGACCGCTGTGCCAGCAACTACCACGCCTGGTCGCACCGCCAGTGGATCCTGCAGAGCGGCCCGTGTCTGCTGCAATCGGAGTTGCTGCGGACGGAGAAGTTTATGCGGAAGCACATCAGCGACTACAGCTGCTACCATTATCGCCAGGTTCTCCTTGGTCGCGCCTACGAGCTCTGCTTCGCCCTGCCCACCGACCCTGGGCCCAATTGCCCGTCCCCGTTGGCTAGTCTGCAGCAGCTGCTGGCCAACTATGGCCTGAAGGGGGCAGACAAGGCGGAGGACATGCTGGAGCTGCTGCTGCCCAAAATGGATCGCAATGCGGTAAGCAGCCAGAGGCTACGCTCCTTTCTCTATTGTTGCAATGTGGCCGCCAGCGATATGCGCCTGTGCGCGGAGCAGCAAGCCATGTACGGGCCCCGGGATTGCTTCGAGCTGCATCGCCGGGCTGCGCTCAAATTCATTGTGGAGCAGTGCGTTCGCCTCGAGGCAGGCATGGGAGCGGCCCATTCAGTGACGGCGGATGACTTGCAAGCACATTTGAGGCAGCTGGACTTTGAGTCGCATCCCTTTCTGGCCGCCGTGCGACGGGAGGAGTCGGCGCTGGGCGCCAAGCACCGACGCTGGTGTAACCTTCATCTGAGCTTCGGCTATCCGGCGGATTAGTCATCGGTCGGCGGGACCTGAAACATTGTGAAAAGCTCAAAGCTGCGGATCAAGTAGTTTCTCGCGGCGCGGAGGAACTCAAATCAATCTACCCCATAGGATTACGTACTCTCTCTTCGTCTGGTCCCGTTCCCGTCCTGGATTCGTCTTCAATTGGAACCAGATCGATGCGGCTATTGAAGCTCATACAAAATGCATCCTAAGGAAAATCTTGTCGAAGGAAAAAAGGAGGAAGCTATTGTAATGGATCGAGAAACGGGAAACGGGATCAGGACTCTATATATACTCTCTCTATATATATTTATGTATATGTATATGTATATGTATTTACGCCCCCAAAGACAAATGTTCAACCACTAGCCCGATATGAGACGGACTCCATGGGGTCCGGATCCCACCAATTGCATTTCGATATCTATGTTAGTGTTAAACTGTTCGACTCTGTTCTCGATCTGATATATCTGGCACGACTTGTTATCTCTATCCCCGTGGCCAGATGTACGATTTAATCAATTATCGCCATGCCATGCACGTGTTTGTTGTTAGCTAATTTGCAGTTAGTTTTAAATAAATCCAACCAACAGACGACAGGAGGTGGTCGCTCAATGGGTGGTGGGAGGCTCGGCATTAGGGTCAGGAGGCCATGCACGGTGAGAAATTAGTGGCCTCGGATAAGGCATATGAATGTAAATGGGTTTAAGTGATACTTGATTTCATAACGGAAGAAACTATAACTTTAATAATCTAGTGATCCATGAATCGAACAAAAGTGGAACTGTCAAAGAGGTATAGCCCTGCCCTGTAGCTTCTAGCTCAGTATCAATCGTGTCTAGCTAAGGAAAACACACATACAGAACTACTCAGAAGTTTTTTGATATTATTAAATATAATTTTGTAAAAGTACGATTTCTAAATTCTTCGAAAGATTCCTTCAATCATGGCAAAGAATAAGATACTTGGATGGCTGGGCGCAATCCAAGGCATCAGAGATATCGCCGGTATTGCGTTGTTTTCATTCCGCGTAAGTGTTTATTTATACCTTTAGAAAAAGGAACTCTCTCGTTCATTCGGCATAAGCGAATATCCTTTCGGCTTCTCTCCAAAGAAAGACGGAAGGAGCTGAATGAAATTAATAAGACCTGTCGCTCTCTGAATAGAATCGGTTGCTCATTCAGCTTAATCCGAATATATCCTCCCAAGAATAAACCAAGAGAATCTGCTCTTCTCTAAATTTATTTTATTTACGTGTGATGTTGTGCTCAGTGCCTACTTCTAAGGACTTCTCCGACATTTGTATTCATTGTAGAAACTACTTTTGATGCTTGAAAGCCCTGGCCGCCAACAAGGCCATGTTGAGCCACCGAAGGAACTGCAGTCGAATGAGAAGGATGTGAGCTGAAGGCCATTCGCAAGCCAGAAGCCCGAAGAAGACCGAAGGTCAACTGAAGTTAGATTGGATTAAAGCCGGAATATTTGGCAAAGCATTTATGCGTAAACCGGGCTCCAAGCAGTAAAAGCTGGGATTGTGCCACTGGATTGTACAAAATTTCAAATTACAAGTCAGCCAAGAAAAACTCGAATCCGATGGAGAAACCTATTTCCACGAATCACCACTTTCACCAAATGGCTGCATAACTCGAAACAATCTTTCTCAAATCTATTCGGTCTGCAGAATGTCCAGGGCCTGCCCGTAAATCCAGAAAGGATAATTGTGTAATATTTCAATCAGATAAATTTTGTAAACCAAAAATGCAATGGTATAGTTGTTCATTATTCAGATTGTCAGATGAAGCACAGGGATTTTTTAAATTGGATAAAGATTAGGATCTATAGTTTTGTAAGCTTTTATGTGACATTATGAAGTAGATAAATCTGTTTTATCTGAACATCTTACTTAGATTAGGGCAATATCCTTCCATGGGATTTAATTTCTGGCAATTGACCATAGCCTGACCAGCGTTTCTCGCCGTGCACATGGATGGATTCGCTTGGATTCGTTTCAGTTCTGACTCGAAGATTGGAGGCACAGTGCGCATGTCCTGGCAGCAGCAGCATAGCAACGAGATGCTGTCGAAGGCGATGGCTCAGGCTCTGGCTCTGGCTCGACGAGATGACAACAGTTCAGCAGCAGCAGCAGCAGGAGCAGCAGCATTGAAATCGGAGACTGGCAGTAGTAATCCCTGCCAACGCTCAGTGTGTTTTTGGAGCAGTTCGCGTGCGGCCGTGTTGGCAGTGTGAGTTGCGTCGAGTGTCCTGTTCCTGGCCGTGGTCCTTGGAGCTATAAACAATTTGCGACGGACGGAATAATGCCTGGGAATAGACTGGCTTCAGCGTTTTACAAATAATGAAACGGCGATCTGAAAAGCGCTCCAAAAGGGTTTGTACTGCATTTGCATCCATCCCTACACGACCATGTGTACGTGAAAGGAACTGTATACATATATATGTGGTGTTGTGTGTGTGGGGAGGAGGGCAGAGGGTGTGTGCCAGTCAGTGTCTTTGTTTGGTTTTAAAATATCATATTCATATTCATTTTCATCTGCCTTTTGCATTTGTTATCTCCTCCTCTTCCCAATTGTCCATCTCTTTCTCTGTGTCCTGCTTGCCCTGAGGGGTGAGCGTGTCGCCCCCTAGGGGCGTGTGCCCGCAACTGCGCCTCAACTGGAGTTTGTTTTTGTAAGAGTGTGTGTGTGTTGTGTGCTTGTGCTTGTGTCTGTGTGGGTGGTGGTGTGGTAAGGGAACAATAGTGGCAAGTCTGTTTATGAGTTGATTATGAGCTGCAAATGTGTGACCATTGGTCTTTGGCCTCTTGTCCCCATTTCCATCTACCATGGCCATCGAAATCCAATCCAATCCAATCCCGCCCTGGGGCCAGGCTCCTCCTCTATTCCCAAGTCCCTGACCCTGGACCTCAGCTGGCACACCTGCATGCCTCAGTGTGTGTGGTGTATACGCGCTTGCACATGTGTAGATAACTCAAAAGGACACACCTGATGATTTTGTGCGTGTGCATGTGGTGTGTGGTGTGTGTTAGCTAAATCCTCGGCCATGGAAGTACAACGACAACTACATACACCTGCATAGATGGGCCACGCACAGTGGCGTCACACCAATAGCATCGTCAGGTTAACCTGATAACTGCCAGCAAGTGAGCCATTGATCTACCCATGGGCATACGTTGTAGTTGTCCTTGGTTCTGTGGCGTCTCTCAAGGCTCCCATAGGATTCTGAAATGCATCAGTTAATTAATTCCGATGAAATTATGTTAGTAATTAAATCATTGCACTGGAGACTTACATTTTGTTCGTTTATAACAAAAAGATGCTCCTGAAATAAACTTGCTATGAACAATGGAATTTGTAAGTGGATCCTATTATCTCCTTCCTTTTCTGTGCATCCACTTTCCAGTGAATCAAAGTAATTGATGTATCTATTATGTCCAATAAAAGCAAGCTATTGATAATATAGACGATTTACTTGAATTCCCCGTTGTCCTTGCTCATAATGCTCAGCATAGGACAATTCCTGGAAGTTATAGCTGCGCTGCACTTGGTAATATTTCCTGGAAAATGTTTAATGGCTTGTCAAGCCTTAGAAATGATACAAAATCAAAATAAAAAATGGGTAAATTGAATAACATTGAAATTAATAATTGTGGTAAATAACAATTTCTTCTATTGGTCCGACCGCCACTGTTAAAACCGTTATAAATATGGATGTGTGTCCTGTGGCCCACATAAGTATGCAATGCATGTACGGCAAGCGGAAACGCGCGCTTGTGTGTGCGCGCCAGACTTCCGTTAGTTCCAGGTGCAGTGACAACTTGTCCGATAGGTGGCTCTGCATTCAATATCCCCTCCATTTCCTGTTCCATCCACAGGCACTCCACACTCCGCTACACT